ATCGCTAAGCGCAAAATGACCTCTTGCTGAGCTGACGTTCCAAAATTCACTTTCAAACCATATCAGAATGAATCAGTCCGAATAAGATTGTATGCGTAAACATGCAACCATACAATCGACAATTTCCTACACTCATCTACACCGACCACACCGATACTTTCAGAGTTACAATCGTGCTTATGAGTCTCATTCTGCCTGATCATGCAACTGAGCATGTCGCCAAGTATCGCCCCTTATCACTCTTCTCCTAATCATCCTTGAAGTTAAAATCAGTGATGAGCAGTATGTCGACGTACTCACCAGAAATTCTTTGGTTGATAGCGATGACTTTCAATACACAGCACAAATACACCGTTATTGACAAAGACTGTAGCCGTTCCCGTTTCTTGATAATGACTTTCGATGTATTTGTCAGCCTCCTAGAATTCATCATCAACCATTTATCGATTAAACTATAAGCTTCATGCATAACTGAAAATTACTCTGAAACCAACTCAAACTCGGAAAAACACTGAACGAGTAACCGAATAAGATTACCAACACTGTAACGACCTGTTCAAGTGAGTTCTGAATCAAATCTAACCTCTTGAAGAGCTTTACGCCACAATTCCATACTGATATCGTTCAAATTCTCATTTTGTATTTCAGCAGCTTCCTTACGCAGATNAAAGTTCGACGCGATTTCGGATCCGTGAAACGACCGTTTGGTAACTCATTGAATTCTGTGATCAGCGTCTGCAAAACACTAACTTAATTCGATTCCGGAAATCAGTTGATTTTTTACTCTTAATATGTAGGAAAGTAGGAAAGAGTTCGAAGCAAGCTCAGATACTCGCATCGATATAACTAATGATCAACATCATAATGCAAAATACGTATATAAGAACAACTATGCATGAGATAAATGCTGTGTGAAGGCTGCTGGATAAACAACAAGAACGCGGCATCAGCAACAAATAAGGATTCAATTTCGGCTCTCTGTTCAAACAAAACCAACGCAAATTTTAGTTTACATAGCGGTAATGATAGCCAATAATAATAATATTAATGAGATTTTGTCGAAAAATCGAACCGGTTTGTCAACACCATCCAGTTTGACAGGCATGAATTGATCTTTGTTGTATTGAGCAAATGCACCCGCACACCCCTCTTTCAGTATCGAATCATTATTGAGTAGCATACGAACATCATTAAACACCTAAATACAACAAATCAATCAACAAAACTCAGTCTTAACTTATCCAGTTATCATCCGTTGTGGAGTGACTCACATGGATTCAATCGAAATTTTTTGGGCTTTCCGAAACGTCAACGAAATTCCATCGATACAGAACGGTTGAATTTTATCATTAGTAAAGAAATAAATAATTCACCAAGGCTAAGCCAATGAGAGCGTCGTGATTCTGGTATGAACTTAATAGAATCAAAAGCGAAG